TTTGAAAATTTACCGAAATGTTTGTGCTAGCTGTCGCATATAGCATTGTTTGGTCTAACTTTAGAACTTTAGTGAAATTTCTCATAGTCTATATCTTTAGAGCGACCGCACTTGGAGTGAAGATTTTGTGAATTTTCGCGGTTTTCCAGCTTTTTTGATACTAAAACCATTTTAAGTGAAAAGCCTAGAGTAGAAATCAAACACGATAATCTTATATAGTATACGGAATGTCTTAAGTGTGCACGCCTGTCTGTATGTGGTAATTAAAAAATGCTTTTTTCTAATATTTATAAACCTTTATTGTTCGTTTCTAAAGCGTGGTTGATTTGTTATTAGATGGTTGTACTGTTAGCGTTTGCAGTAGGATGACAGTGTAAGCCTGAGAGGCAGCAATCGTAAAGCCACTAGCAACCTTGTAAGCAAAAAGAATGCAAACTTGAATTTAGGTCACTTCTTTGAGACAATTCATCAAACCTCCAAGATTTGAAGGATTTCTAGCGCTCAGGCGATGGGCTCAACATTTCGGTATACGTATATCGTCTGTGCATCATCATAATGTCCAAACTCAAATCTGAGGTGTGAGCTCCGCAAATCATCCTCAACCTGGGATTTAATGTCGCTGTTGTTTAGGCGTGTTGAGCAGGTGATTCTTATGAAAAAAAATTGCTGAATTTACTTATGTAGATACACGATACACTAGTAAATCAAACTGTTGTCCTGCATACTACGCCAAGCTCAAGCTTTCCAAAAAGTAAGTTTAAAATGATAAAAATGATTACAGCTAATGATTACTGAATCTTTTATCCAAGATGTAATATACTCTTAACTTGATAGATCATCTGATGAATAATGTCAAATTTTCTTGAGATTGATATCTCCAGCGCATATTCTTGACTCAAACCCACACTCGTTTGTGCCTCGACGTATACGGAAATAACCTGAACATTTTCAAGTCACCTATTTCTTATGTACTCACTCCCATTGTTTGCAAACCGTTCTCTCCCCAATCAGTATTCCATGAATTGGCCACCAACCAGTAATCTACGCCCTTGTCTACACCCCATCCAATGACTTTGACAGCATGCGATCCCAATGAGGTTCCCCACGTGTGCTGTAATTATTCCAGTTAATCAGAATAAAAAACACATCTTAAGGACATTTTTGACAATTTTTTGCTCAAATGTAGCACATCCCCGCGATTGTCTACCGCCTCATCGTGGCGCGGGAA